TGCGTATTATGTACAAGGAGAGATAAAAACAGAGCAGTAAACAAAGCCGTGGACAAACAACAGTAGTATTTTGAATTCAGCAGTAATCTTGTCTCTCAAAACTAGTCAATCGCACTGATGACTCACAGTGTATCAGTATTGTTTTGATGTAATGAAAACATGTCTTATTCTATGTAAGTTGGCCTTGAAAATGTTTATTAAAACCAGTGAAATTCGAAGATATAATTAAAATATTCTAACTAGGTATCAACAGCTTGTAATTTTGAATAATAATGAAGCTTAGACTTATTGGATTCTGCCCACATAACAGCCTGACAAGCTCAGATTAAATTGCTCCTGTTAGTTTACAGGGGTAACATTAAGATGGAGAGACTGCAAAACTCATTTTGAACAATAAACCAAGCTTTGTCGTAGTCAGACGACCTTGTCAGTTGGCAGCATTGTCAGGATCCTGCAGCATTTTAGATTGAAGACTAAACTGTAGATACTATCTAAGTGCTAAAAAAAAAAAAAAAAAGATACTATCTAAGCGGTTTAGGTGGCAGCCACGGGACTAAAATTATAAATTTAAAAACCACAAACCCCTAACCACCTGCATAAACAGTAGCTCTCTACGATTAACTGACAACTGCCCCTTGGAGAAAACAATACATTCATCAGTGGAAAACACTATAGAGTTTTGCTACAAATGAGAAATCCAAATAAAAAAATAACACTGAATGCTTCAAAAAGGGACTGTAACACACCACTGAGAGTGTTTTGTAAATAAACTAATTGGTAGTAGACAGCTGAAGGCTTTGGTTTGGGATATGAAAAATAACCACTTAATAACAGACTAAATTTCTCTATTACTGACATACCCATACAAGAAAAATGTTATTTTCTCCTCCAAACTGGATGTATTTTGATTCTGAAGGTAAATTAAGTGTTTTTAAGTCTGTAAAGCTGAATTTGATATGTCAGCCATGACTTGACTGTAGTAGTACTGACAATATTGATTCCTTCAGAAAAGGTTTGCTGAGACTACGTGTATATGCTTTTTCCATCATCAATATCACTCCAGCACTAAAACTTAAACTGGTTGCCCAAGAGCACTACAGCTAGTTGACAGAGAAAGTAGAACTTAATCGATACTCTATTCACAAAGACTTTATCAGTAAAGCAATCAGCCCTCCCTCACCTTATCACCCCATTTTCAAAATCAGTCAACTAGATAGCGATGACTGTTGCTGCCATTTTCCCACAATGGAAATTTTTCCGCCAACCCAAAGCAATGTGATCCTGTTATCTATTTCTGCACTGCAGTCATTGGATTGCTCTCCATTGAAGTGCTATTGATCTGCCATGTGTTTCCCATACTGAAAAAAACGCAGGGTGGGGGGTGTAATCAATACACCCAGCCTCCATCCTTGGTCCTCCACCTTCAGCTACCTCACACTCTTAAAAAGGGATGAGGCATTTTCAGTTACCTCCCTTATCAGTTACTTTTCAACACCATACTGTATGCATGCATGTTGAATACTAATATATGGTGCTCCAGTACTATGTGTAAGTGTGAAGAATGACGTTTTTACCCCATAAAGCTTTTATATATATATATATATATATATATATATATACACATATACACACACACACACACACACACACACACACTATATACAATATATGTATTTTTTTTGTTTTTGTTTTTTTGAGGAACAATGTCAGTATTAAGTTTGTGACATTTTTAAATAATACCCCATCACATTGGGTATTAAAGAGACAATAACATTTTAAAGAAATAAAAATTTTTATCTTACAAATGAGCATGAGTCCAATGCATGCAGAGGTTTTGCTTCTACAGCCTTACTTGGTCCGGTATGACGCGTAGCTTATGGTGGCAAGTGTTAGACAATTTTGGCAAACTTAAAATAGAAATTTCAGTGTAACTCACATTACTTGGCCCCTTTGATGAGTGTGTGGCTCACCTCTACTTGGGCCATGTGAGCACTGTGTAATTAGCAATAACAACAAACACCATTATCGCTGAAAAGACCAAGTTCATCATCTACGGAGTGTCAAACATTGTGACTGACAATTGGGATGCACAGAATTTTACCGCAGAAAACATCTTGTGAAAAAGATGGGATAGGATTTGTTCTAAAGATAAAGTGAGCCTGGTGTCAGATGTGTTGAAGAAGTTTCGGACGCTGATGAAGACTTACAAAGTGCATATGGATACTAGGGGTGGGGGTAAAAAAAAAATCGATACAGCATAGTATCGTGATATTTGCTCTCTAATAATAAAATCTATTGCTTTTTTAGTCCACCAGAAAACTTAACAGGACCATACAGATGACTGAAAAACAGATAAACAGATGTTGACAAAGTTTGACTTTAGGGACCTAATTGGAAGTTGGAAAAAGGTAATAAATTGCAATATATCTCAATGGATTGAAAATCTCAATAAAATCGAATCACAACATAAATATCGTGATAATATCGTATCGGGGGGGCTCTGAAGTACTTCCTTTCTGGGGATATAGACCTAAGTGTCCAAATAAGGTTACTGTTCACCTATCTATACATGTGTAAAGATTATCTATACATAGTGTCAAGACACTATGCTTCCCAAAGTTAACCTAAAGGTTGTGTGTCATTCATGTGTAGGTCAGTCTTTCTATAATGGAACAAAATAAAGATAATTGGAACCTTGGGTTACCTAACAAATGGATAACGGTGTATCCTTATTAAGACCACTACATCAGTCACTTGACAAGCAAGCAGAGAGGAGACAGAGTCTGAACTACTGTTTTGGAGAGTCCCTGGCTGTCACCTTTGGCTTACTTTACCTGGGGAAACCTGTGTCATACCCCTAAATTCCTTCACACAACTGAATACGTTTACACTATAAAAAGGGCAGTGAGAAGACTGCATACATGCTAGTGTTTGTGAAATATTGTTTATGTCAAAAGGAAACACTAATTTTATAATAAATAAATATATAATAATAAATAATTCAGCATCATGTCTGCTTAAGGTCACTGGACGCTAAAACAAAGACACTTAAAGGGCGTCCTGTTTGACCACTCTGCCACTGTGCTGGTTTACATTACAGGACAGGGCCTTAGAAATGCAGTATACCATTTAGAAATCAAAAACAGCTTCTTTCAAAGCAACATGAATATAGTCAACCGAGATCTTATCTAACTATCTATCAAAACATGTTACAGTCTCCTGAGTTACAAAGAAAATATAAGAGTTTTGTACCCATCATCCTGTGTTCAAAGTTAAAATGGTTGTGCTATAGATGAAGCAGGCCTGAGGGAAAATAATCACCTTGATGTTTTATCAAAACTTGTATCAATAAACAACAGTTTTAAGCACAAATAAAAGGGACTCACTTTGGTTCACTGGAACGGAGGAGTGTTTCGTTATAAAAATAACCCAGAAAGACAGACTGGATGACAGATGGATGAAGCATACTAATAGTGTTTATTGTTTTACAGGAATTCCTGTTTTCTCTGAAGGACTTTGCTTCATTTAACAACTGTGTTGAAAAATGCTGTGTCATTTTCTGCTGACTGCTGCTGCTACTTTGCATTTGCCACTAGTGCAGTAACAATCTGTCCTGTGGTTGTCTGTTTCCTCGTATTTGTGTGTGTGTGTGTGTGTTTATATATGTGTGTGTTTCATTCCATCAGGTTCTTACCTGGCAGAAGATTGAAATAATTCCCTATTCAGCATCTGTCGTACTTTCAACCTGGGCTCTGAGCCCTAAATCGTCGCACCACATTGACATAAGAGGCCCCCCCCACACACACACACACACACATACACATATACACACATAGACAGGCCTAACACTGCAGGTCCACATCTCACTGAACAGTCATCATGGTGGTGATTATACACACAGTTCAACTTTGATGCAATGCAGATGGATTAAATGTCCACTAAATGCAACTCACTACTGGCAATCATCCCACGCTAAAAAAAAAGAGTTGGCGTGATGTTTTAATGGAAAATAAATTGGTTAATTCTCTTGGTTTTTTAAATATATATTTGTATCTTTTATTGTAATTAAAATTAAATGAATTAAAAAATAATGAACTTGTCACATATAATTTATAGATGATTCTGTTTTGTCTAGCTGTACATTTTCATTTCAAACTAGAAATATTTCATTTTAAATATTCAAATGTCTGTTTGTCCCATTCCAATCTCGACCCACCTGCAATGGGCATATATTTAATCAGCAAATAAATACTTAGATAGAGGAATTATTATCAATGCATCGCCAGTATAAAAATACTAATACCCTAAATTAAGTGAATATAATGGTCAGGCAGGTAGCCAGAAAATGCATTTCAGAAACTCCAATCAGTTAAGTGTCAATCAGCATCTAGTCTCGTGTCACAATACTGATATTATATTTATACACCAATATTAATATAATATCAGTAAATCTACCATATCTACATATAAACTGCATGTTAAAGTTTTCTTGGATTCATCTCTCTGCATTCATTCATTGGCACACTGGCAGCTCCAGATAGCAGAACCCAGAAATCATCTGACATCGGAAAACTATACACAGCAAGCTCAGGGTCAGCCCAGCTAGTGTGACGTGATTTGTACCAAAGAATACAAAAGGGACACGAGAGATGGTCTCCTGTATAGTAAGAACCAGCTTTGTAAGTCGCTTGATAATTTGCAATTCATCACTTTTTGTAGCAGGAGAAGGATATACATCCACCAGAGTCTTCACTTGTTCAAAATTAGCACATCTACATTATCTCAGGTAAGAGAATAGAACGCTAACATGCTGCAGCCTCTATTTATTATTTCCCCTAAGACATATTTACATTTAATTCTTGCTGAATGCAGCTTTCTTGTTTCATCCAACTCTGTTCCATAAAGATTCAAATGTATGTCGAATGTTTAGCTCAGAATAATTGACCCTCATATTACTCATCACTGGTCCATTGGCTCAAAGAGCGCCATATCACACTGACCTTTGACCTCGGAGGAGAAGTGGGCGGAGTGACGAGTTATAAACAGCTGCAACTGCTGAACAAGGTCACAGCACTCGAGGTCAACATCCCAGGATCGAAGTCCTGCCAGGAAGGAAGAGAAACAGCTTGAGTACAACATGAAGCAAAAATGACAGAGGTTAATGAACTTTAGGTATCTGATTAACCTGAGGCACAAACACACATTTAGCATGCAAGTTTGTACTGTTCATCGCAGTTTTTGTGAACTTGAGGTAACCTTTTACCAGATGTTGCTGCAGCATCTTGCCTGCCTCCCACCTTCTCCCCTCAACTCAGTTTCTAACTCTGTATAAGCTGCAGTGAAGATTAATGAGCAGAAAGCGTTCTAGCGTTCAAAATATCCTGAGACTGATAGCACAACATCTCTCATCAGTATTACTAACCTTAAACGACACTGTTGCACTACTTACTGCCATAGTTTGGATTTTGTCATACAACAATCCTTGTATACTACCAAAGGCCCAGTCTAAAGCCATAGTATTACAACTTAGCATAGTATAGTTCGTGTAAGCGTTGCCTTTTCTCATTTGATGAAAAAACATATTTTACCTAAAGTGCACAAAAGTTTTAGATTTTATCAAAGTTTTAAAACACATTAAATTCTTTTCAATTTTATTTAAAGGTTATGTGTGTAACATTTAGTGGCATCCAGCTATGAGGTTGCGAATTGCAACCAACTGTCTAGTCTACCGCTCCCCCACTCCCCTCCTTCAAAGAGCGCAAAAGGTGTGGTCTTCTGAGACAGCAGAGAGTAGCAAATGGGGATTCCTTAGATAGATATATTAAGAAATGATATTTAATTAATTATTCAGTAAAACCGTATTATAGGCGTCTATCTAAAAACTAAAATGTAGACACCGAGAGGCTGAGTATGGAAAAACTGTCTGCCAGACGCGCTGATTATCTAATAATTCCAGGATTCCGATTGCTGCGTTTTGATGGTTCATTTACAGGTAAAGTTAGACTATACAGGTGATCAGTTCCATACAGTGAAGATATCCATAAAATACTAGAAACACTGAACCGCAGTCAGCAAAAATTAGGCTTTCACCCATCACCCCCTCTCTCCAACGTGAACAGGTGATATCCTAATTTATTATCAGCACCCACACCATGTGATTAAAGCTTGTGAGCAACCAAAAGAAGGGAGCGTTCAAGAACCCATACCTGGCTCCTACATTCCGGCCCCTAATTATTACAGTCAATACACAGTAATAATTACAAATTCATTACGCATGCAGGAATATACATTTTCATATATTCATAGTCCATTGCAACAAATGTTCATCTGTCATCCATCATATAAATCATATATGATCAAAGTTAGGTTACAAGTCTGATGATTCCTGAAGAAGGCAGATCTTGGTCACAGGCCTATATACACAGCTGGTTAGAGTTTTAATACAGACTTGTCGCACAAGCCCCCTCCTGTCAGGAACTGCTTCAGTGATTTTACCAATGATCCAGGAATTACGGGGTGCAGAATCATCCACTATGAGTACTATGTCTCCAGGGATGAAGTTGCGCTTGACTCTTGTCCATTTCTGACGTTCTTGTAGTTGGGGTAGGTTATTTTGACTTGGTCACTGACAGATAACATGGAAAAAGTAAGCCAAGAGTGTGAAACATTGTCACTGTTTCTGCACCACAGTCCTTTATAAACCACATAATAGATAAAGTTTATACAAACATTGAGAAGGGAAACACGTTACATCTACATTACATCCCTCGCCAAAACTGCCCGCCATCAATAATATCTGTCAGATTATGGTGATTTGATAGCAGCTAAAACTAAAACTAAATAAATAATTTGATGGTGCTGAAATAGATCTCAGTCATGGCAGCAACAGTTACTCAGATAATCACTTCCTCTTTAGAGGTCTTGCCTTCAAAATAAAAGCGCAAGAACATTTTTAGCAGCAATGCTTTATTTTGAGTTGAATTGAGAGCTTTAACTTTGAAAAATTCTGAACAACATTAAAAAGAGTCTGTAGCCTGCTTCTGAAAGAGCCGTTAGATTCCCCTAAATGTCCTCTGCTTGAAGATACTGGGAAAATCAAAAAGCGTCCGTACACACACTGCAGATGTGCTGCAATGTGAGCATGAGAGACAGAATCCATTTGTTGAGAGAGAAAAAAAAATTCTCCCGACATAGATTGAGGTGAGAGTCCTGCACTTTACCAACTAGGCTAACCGAATACTTTTCAGATATACGTCATTTTAAAATATAACGTTACAGACAGAAATCATTTGTTGTTGTCATCAACAACTCACGTGTTTATTCTATCAATACCAGGTGTTTTCTTGTTAAAATGTGGAACGACGTCAGTATAATTTCACTTTGAACGAAAGGTGCGCATTGTTTCATCCATCCCTACTGTGCGGGATGAATAATTAATGTTATTCTTGTTTTTATTTAGAAAGATTGAAACTGCCCTTCTTAATACGTAATTGCAAACTCATTATGTCCTTTTTCTTAATATAAAATAATATAAATATAACTTAGCTATCTAACTATAATACCCCACAGTTAAAGCACATTTGGATTAGATATTGATTGCCCTTTTTATGTATATCTGCATCCTGTTTTCTTGGTCTACTGTGAAGACCCAAATATTTGGCTGTGAGTATCCTGGTGGTCCAGCCTGCAGCCTAGTGGACTCTGCTCTCCTCCTGCCGTATCTAAATAAGGTAGGATGGCTACAATGACTCCTGGCGTTTAAACTTTACCAGCTTCTAAACTGTAAAACATTTAAAACTTCAGGATGTGTTAAGTACCAACTAATCTTTCATGTGATCATGACAATGGCACATGAAACAATAAACACAACTCGTCATTCAAAACAAATGATTGCTTGAGTGAATTTACTTTCCTTGATTGAAAACAGCTTCTTTCGTATACTTCCGTGTAAGTGTGACGTATCCACCGGATTTTTCCCGGTTCTCTTAAGTACTGCGGACTGTATGTGCTGAGGTTGTTTGGCATATCAGATTTGTAAGGGCTCCAAGAAAATCACTGTATATCATTCATCCCGCGTTTCAATTGTCCCGGCTCTCCCCAACTATTTAACTGTAAATGACTATTAAGGGTAATAAACAATTTACACATTTGTATCATGTCATCACTCACTTATTAAGATCTTTACAAAGCAGTAGAAATATTTTATAATGCATAAATTATAAAAAATAAAAAAATCTGTAAACTCTATTTAAACCTTAATTTATTGATTAATGGCCGTGAAAACAAGCTGTAACCACAACGCTGACATATTATCTCCTTTTAACCTGTTAGCAACAGTTGCTTATTCACACATTTAGCAGATACTGAGGAACAATATCTTTTGAATACTGATTTTGTCCACCTGAATGCCAGTCCTAAATTTACTCTCCTTTTAGCTCTGTTTTTGGTGTCTACCAACCCCTGATGGAAATAACTTTTGCTGGTAAATGCTCTACTAAGTCCACCAGCTTGTATCAAACTTGGTCTGTGCCATTTGGTGCTGAGCTATTAGCTCAGGTGTCAGAGCTTTTAGCTGAAAACAGCTGCCTGCCACGTCTGAAAAACAATCTAATGAGAGTGCTGACTCAAAATAGTTAATAACAGGGCCAGAAAACCAAAACAATAAGCTCAAAAAGAGCTATCTATCTATATCTATAGAGCTAAGAGGAACTGCAAAGTCAGGTGATATTTCTCTGTGTGTTTGTCACAAGAACCAACATCTTTCCAACAAGTCGTCCAACCTAAACGACAACATAGGTCGTTTATCCATACCTCACAGTACTGACTTACGTAAAAACACCTGACTTCCTCCTTTGCTAGCGTTGTATGGCCATTGGAGATGTCCACTGTCACTATAAACATAATAATAACATAATAACATGCTGCACATATTGTTGTTTTTCTGGTGAGAACGGTCTCTATCTTTCACATTACACATAACCATCGTTCAAAATATTGATACAGCTTTAAGTAAAAGATTTATATCCTCTGTCATCCTACTTTATATTTTTATTCAGAAGTCATGGTTAAACGCCCATTGACTGATTCTATCCTTTCTAGTAGAAGACTTCACAGAATCTAGCCAATAAGCATGTATGAATGACTTACTAATATTTCTACTGAATTCCATTATTTTTGTTTTGTGAATTGATAATTAGGCTTATACCGCATCATCATCATCATCATCATGAAATGTTTCAAAGTGTTGGTTATGAAGTAATATAAAGTAAAAGCCTCCACATGAACATAAGCACTAAACATGAAAACTAGTCTAATTAGAGTTCATTGGATCAGTAGAAATGACTCGGTAAAGAACTGATCAGCATCTCATGCACACTCTTTCTCCCAAACACACACACACACCAGCTTTATCAGATCCTACTGAGCTGCAGTGAGTCAAACTTCAGAGAGAACTTGTCAGAGCTCATCCAGAAACCCACACCTCTCTCATCTTATCCACTTGTGGATTCCTTGAACCAGAGCAAGAAATTTGATTATTCTAATTTTTCTAAAATCTCGTCTTTCACAAGAAAGACTTTGAAGACCTTGTTTTGCCCTTAACTGAGGACAAGATGTTCCCTTGCTGCAGACTGCAGTCTGTTCTCAGAAATGCTGTGTCACTGTTCTCAAGTTTTTGTTAGCATTCACTGGCAAATGTCTACCTTTGCACTCCCAGACGCATAAAAATTACAACCTCTTACTCTGGTTTGGATGCCTTTTCATCTCAATCCTCTCAATATAAAGACTGTTAGCGTCAACAGAAGACAGGGAAAATGATGGGGATAAAGGAGGCCTTCATATTTTTGCGTCTGAATCTGCTGCTCTGCCAAGGAGGTGGTTAATCTATAATGAAAATAATAACTAGTCGCATTACTATACCAGTTCAAATAAGCCAGTTAAGCTCACTCTCCTATAATGACAGACCTGGATTGATTGATATTATACACGTTAATGTGGAGTTAATAACGTCTCATGTCCTTTTACTTTTAGTTATCAGTGTCTGCTTAATACTCCGCACATCATTATGCATATATGATGGCCCAGCTTAGGACCTTCTTATCCA